CGCGCTCTACGCAAAAGCGTAATTTGCGTACTGCCTCGAGCCGCCCCTGGTTGCAATCTGTCTCTTGAATACCTCCACCCTTAATTGCTTTCACCCATGAACTCTTACTTACAGATTACTAAACGCTTTAGAACTAATACTTACATTAACCCTTCCAACACCAACTGCTAGGCCTACCACCACCATCAATTGCAGAACATAATACATGACAGTTTCTTCCACCGGATTCCAGGAGGAGCAGGTCACCCCGACCCGCGGCAGGGCCAAGAAGGAGAAACCTGAGCCGCCGCCACCACGCGAAAACCCCAAGGATAAGAAAGGGGCGGCACGGGGGCGGAAGGGCGCTCAGGCCAGTCCTGGCACCGTCGCCACCCCCACCGAGGTGGACCAGGGCAACCTGACGGCCGAACTCTCCAGCGAGAAGCTCACCAGGTGAGGAGGAAGGCCAATGCTGAGGCATGGGAGGGTGGGGTCTGCGGGGAGTGGGCCCCAAGAGGACCGGGGGCATTGGTCGAGCATGGAGTGTCCCTTGGAAGCACACTGCCTATCTTCTGAGGGGAGTGGATCAGAACTCTCCACAAGGAACATAAAGAGCTCTCCATCATGGAACACTCGTACCCCAAAAGTATTGCCCTAGTTCTCTCGAGATGGCCAAGAGGACCACGTCACTACAATTGGGTGTCACCCATATGTGCCAAACAACTGGACTGGCAGGAGCCATGGTTGAGCATCTAAGCTGGTGCTTCTCAACCTTCCTAATGCTGTGAGCCTCACACTGTGGTGACCCCCAACCATCATATTATGTTCATTATTACTTCATAACTGTAATTTTGCAACTGTTATGAATTGTAATGTAAATATCTGATATGGAGGTTGTATTTTCATTCACTGGACCCAATTTGACACAAATACCCAATACACCCAAATTTGAATTCTGGGGGGATTGATTTTGTCATTTGGGAGTTGTAGTTGCTTGGATGTATAGTTCACTTCCAATCAAAGAGCATTCTGAACTCCACCAATGATGGAATTGAACCAAACTTGGCACTCAGAAGTCCCATGACCAACAGAAAACACTGGGTTTGGTGGGCAATGATCTTGAGTTTGGGAGCTGTAGTAGACCTGCATCCAGACTCAAACAATGATGGATCTGGACCAAACTTGGCATGAATACACAATATGCCCAAATGTGAAAACTGGTGGAATCAGGGGAAAATATATCTCGACATTTG